TAATTAATAATAAGGACTGGACATTACGTTTAAAATCCGTAGTTTGTTATTATATTTAAAACAGCGTATTTTTTTATTAGATATTTTGTCTATATCCTTGGCCTTTTTCGTCGAATTTGCTTTCTTAAATGCTGCATAGCGCTCAAATAATATTCTTTATTTACCGTTTGACCTTCCGGCAAGAATTCCGAGTGCACAACACCGCGATAGTCAAAGCAAACAGTCAACATGACTTTGAATTTTGATCGACTTAGGCGTGGTTTTTTCGGTTTCGGTTCAGTTGGAAGGCGCCACTCAGAAGCTTATAGACTAGTTTGCATGTCAAACTCGTAAACCCATGTCTCGTCACCAGTAACAAAGCCTTTCAAGAATGTTGGGTCGGAATTGACTCGTTCTAGCATGTCCTCAGCGACTCTCATGCGATTGAGTTTTTGGACAAAATTCAGGTCTTTTTGGACTAGCTGAGCGGCAACGTGTTTCATAAACAAATGATTATGTAAAATGGTCTTCCATCACATTTCGACCGCTTTTTAACGCTTTGTAGCACTCATAAGCACGTGTTTTAGATAAAGTCGATTCACCGTAAGTCTTTTGTAACATTTTCAGTGACTCCTAATAAGAAATTCCATTGGCGATGCAAAATTTAAGACAAACTCTTTGTTCGATATTTTTGTGCATTATGAAATTCGCAATACACACTAGATATGATATAACTAAAAACAGCACTGCATTTAATATAAATAACAGATGCAATTCAAAGCTGTGCCAGTCTAACGACAACAAAAAATAAACAAAAATTGAATTTGGAACTATAAACAAATCGTCTATTCCTAATCCTTTTTTGTCTGAATATACATTCATAATATTCATTATCCGTCCGATATTAGTGGATGTTAAGCTGCACCATTGTATCAGCTATTACGATTATGCAAGTGCAAAATTCTTCCGTAACTTTAAATGTATCGATGAAACCTGCGATGGGTATTGTGTTAACTATATTGTTTATCAATTTTAGGTTCAGTGGTTTACCTATTGTAAATGCATATATTTCAATTCTCTTTGTGGTATTATCCTTTTTACTTGTTTTCTCTCTTTTTCGACAAGGAATCCTTTTTTGAACATGGCTCTCACTCACAAACAAAAAAACAAAAAATTATGGGGCCCTTTATTTCTACTTGTCATACCGAAAATGTTTATCCACTGCCATTAAGATGAATTAATGGCAGTGGATAAACATTTACTGTTAAGTTACATTTTCTACAAATTACAGTTCATAAGGTACAGCCCGCAGACATGTACAGACAGGACAGTGGAGTACTAGCATTAATAGGCGTTGGATATACGAACTCCGCGGCAATAGGACCCAGAAATACAACCGCAAAAACTCATCGCATTCCTTTCCTATTCTAAGAGGCATATGAGTTGTGTAATTTTGCTATTGATAAGAACAATTAATATGTATAGATTTATGACTTTATTTATTACGACAATTGGTGACATCATTTTACACCTGCTCATAACTTTACATATATATTCTTTCAAATCAGCAGTAATCATATATTTATGATATCGTCGCTCATACTGAAGATATGCTAAGTCGTCCTGGTGTATGATAACATTCACTGGTGAACGACCGAAATCGCCATAATAATAAACAACGGTCATTCACCAGCTAGCTTAGTGGATGTTGACATACACCATTTTATCTTCTCTTCCACTGCGGTTCTGATATTCACAGTAACATAGGCTATTTTTTTATATATCGGATGTACAAATAAACGGAATACTTATTAAAATCGCTGAAAGGACGAAACAAGATTTAGGTTACTTTTTTGAAACAAATCAAATTCTTTTTAAATTAAATGCCAAAGACATATGCTAAGTGTTCAAAGCTAATGTCGCATTTTATTTTATAACGAAGTCACAAATGAATAAAAACTAGAAGATGAAATCCTTTCTTGAACGTTTAATACAATGAAATTTAAAAACAAGTAGCAGAAGTTCTCTTCTTTTACACCCAATTCACAATTGGCCCGTTTTTTTTGTTGTAAAGAGTTACTTTCGACTAGATAGTGTGCCCGTAGGGTGTACGTAATTTATTGATTTCAAGAACATTTTGTGTTTTTTCTCGGGTTTTTACATATTTTGTAGAAACAAGTAGAATAATAAACCTGTGCTACTTTCTGGAATCTTTTGCCTCGGACAACCAATCTGTGAAACAAATTGTCACCAGCGGTATTTCCTGACCGATTCGACATCAAAACCTTCAATAAAATAACGTATTCCCACCTTATTAACCAACAACGCGCTTGTGACTCCTAACTTGCAGGTGACCCGTCTGCTCGTTAGTCTCCTTTGTATAACACAAATAAATCCAAAATTCAATGTTGCAAGAAGTCAAAGTAAATCTCAGAATGTAGTTTTTATTTTTATTTTTGCATTAATTCTTTACCAGTTTTGTATAAAACTTATAGTATTTCTCTTAGTTTGGCTGAGCATTATTAAATTTAATGTTTTATATAAGTTTGACCGAAATTAGACTAACGGCCGGTTTTTCAATTCTCAGTTATCCTGTCAGACAACTAACTTGGGACTAAATTTACCTTGCTGTTTATCAAGCGAATAAACTATTTTTGTTTTCAATCGTGTGTAAAACGACAGATAGTTACTTGATGGTCTTTAATGGCTAAGATCACTGTAAACATGCGCAAGCGAGACGCAGTTATACAGTTAGTAACACGTTAAATAAGGACCACAACCTATTGAACATTTGTCTCATTCTTTTCTTGACATTGCTTGTCGTCAGTTAATAATACAACCTTATTGACGGTGGTAGTAACGGTGAACAGTGTTGTGGTTTGTGTAACGGACTGCTATTCGAAAGGTCGGGGGTTTGATTCCCGCTCCATTCAAATAATTTGTGTACATTTACATTTAACTTTGTCTTTGTTTGTATGTATAATATATATGTATATATTATATGTTTTTATATCAGTTGTCTAGTACCCATAATACACGCTCTGAGCTCTTAGTTTGGGACTAGATGGGAATGTAGTATAGCATATTATTATCATTCGTGTTAGTCTTGTCTATACAAATAAATAAAATTGGAGTGTCTGTTTGTAATATTAAAATAACCGCTTTTTACTAAATGCATATGTATTTTTTACACGGTACATATGCCAAAATAACATTTTTTACAATTTTTGTCCGTCTGTCTTTCTGTCTATCTATCTTTCTGTCTGTCTATCTGTCTGTCTGTCTGTCTGTTTGTTCCGGGTAATCTCTGGAACGGTTGGACCGACGGGACTTTCACTGGCAGATAGCTGATGACATAAGGAGTAACTTAGGCTACTTTTTTTAAGACAAGCTTCGCCCCGCGGCGTTGCCCGCGGTTATAACATCAACCCGGGTAACACCGCGGGTCTCAGCTAGTATAAAATAAAATCAATTAAAAAACGAGCATTAAATTTCGAGAAATTGCATTTGCTAATAAATTGTAATGAAATTGTTCATCATAACACAAAGTATTGTCATATCTTTCTCTAAAAACTCTTTCTTTTCTCTCAGGTCACAGCAAAATTGAAATACTCAATAAGGGCAATGTATATAAACATTACTACAACAAATATTAGATAATGTAAACAAATACACGAAATTTAAAATCACTATTCTACAGATATTATCACTAGCTCAGGCGCGAAAGGACAGATATAGTTATTCCTCAGATTTAAGCTTTATTCTTCAGATAATAACCATCTTCAGATAATAGCTATCTGACCATTGAAAAACCCAAAATTGCGCTAACTGGGGATTAAACGCTATCTAAGTGTGAGGATTGAAAAACCGGCCCTAAGTACTTTAAAGTAAGTTAGGAAGTGTGTACTTTGCAAACGTAAATTAACCTAGGAAAGTGTTTGACAATAATTTATCCGACAGGCGTAATAATTAATTCCTTAGGTAGTTTCTTTCTGAACCCAAATCCCAAACTAGGCAGAGCCTGTATTATGGTAACAAGACTGCTGATAAACATACTTATATATTTCTAAATACACACATATTTTAGGTAAAGTATACCCCCAGACACAGAACAAATGATCGTACTCATCACATAAATATTTGTCTTGGTGGGAATCGAATCCACGACCTCCGGTTCAGTAGTCAGGGTCGCTAACCACTAGATCAACAGACCCGCAAGTAAAGTGTTTCGCTTGAATCACTTCTATCTGGTACAATACTTCAAAAAAGTCTTCCGAAAGGTAATAATAATTGAAATGCTACAACAGTAAGAACTTGCATCATAAATCTGTCAGTCATAAACCTGTCAGTGATTTAATTTTAATTTGCCTGGCTATTAAATAACAAAGCAGTTTTTTCATTCGGTCGGTTAATCAATACAAAATCCTTTTGCAAACTAGAAAAAAAAAACCAAACATGATTAGGATTTTTAAGGTTAATTTTCTCATTGATTTTGACGTGTCCCTTCCATTGCATTCTTTTTAACGTTCATTAAAAATACTTTCTTTTTAACGTCCCTACTCTGGAGAGAGGAAGCGGTAAACTATAGTCTTATCTAAATTACTTTAAACCAAACCATTAACAAAACGATAAGTGCATGTTAAAATACACAGTAACGTAAAAACTATAGTTGCTATGAAATTTTATTTATTGTATCGGTACTTATCGCACACGATTTATTTATTTACATGTCTAGCAATCATTGTATTATTATTAATAATTACGGCGTTAACGCGGTTATTCCTACAACAATCCTCAAGTACATAATAATATGAAATGAACAACCAAATACATCTAATCGATGAAAGAGAACACCGGAAAGTCCTTGAACTAAAGAGATTACAAATATTTGTTTGTTTCGATACAATGTAATAACTAGCATGTATTTAGAATTTATTTTCTATACATAAACTATATTACTCTATACACAAGTTTTAGTACTTGGCGATATTATTGTAAATATTAAAAAAAATTGAACTCACGTTTTGACATCTTCCTCGATGATATTTCAATTCACTTTGAAACCTTTAAACAAAAGCAGAAACATAATTTAATAGATAAATATTAGCTTCACAATAAGGAAATATAATTTATTTTGTAATATGTACGTACTGATGGAATAGCCAAGTTATTATGTGCGATGCATAACTAGTTCAAACATCACTGATCTGAGCGTACACTCTGCAGCATGAAGTAAGAATAGGGTAGACGTGTCAATGAGAATCGGTGACAATTAAAATATAATGTAAATTTAATTAAACTTATTTTAATTGTGATTTAAGATCAAAATAAACCATTTTCCTAGTAAAATTATTTTGGTATAGTATGATATTCCCAGATCGTTTGCCGCGTTTCGTGTGACGGGGTGGGTAACTGCTAAACTCCTTAAGAGAATTTATCAAACCTCTAATGTTACCGAAGAGCCGGGATGAGTCCTTGGGACCCCATGAGACTGACCTGATTTGTATATTCACCAGTGCACTAGAGAAGGAAGTGTCTAACCATCTCCTCCACAGAAATCGTAATAATAAGATATTACTATTTCTATGATCTCCTCTTATCGTGTCTGGTCGTCGTTCTATCACCTTATTTAGGACTTCTAAGCGCGTTCTTGCTGGTTTTGTAAAGTTTAATATTTCGAAAACTTTTTTTGACACCGCAGAACCGGTTTCTTGTCCGGTAAACAGTTAAAAGTAATACCAGGAGATTTATTATTGCTTTTAGTGCATCCTGTTGTTGCCGTACTACGAGGAACATAATCGAGTCTATAATCGGATGATGAGCTAATATTCCTGTCATCCCCCGGATCCCTGAATACGAAGTTTTTAAGGGGATTATATGATGCCAGAGCAAAAGCCTGGCCTAAGCCTTTAACAACGAAGCCTCAAAGAATCACGTTCCTCTAATGGTGTTGATGTTAATGACAAACTATATGGCTCCTTTGAAGAAATTAGAGACAAAGTCTAACTAGCTGCTTCTCTGTTGTAGCGTCCAGTAGTAATGCGTAAAAATCAGCAGCCAAAAATGTAGGTGACTTTGGGTTGGACAGAAACAGAAAGTTATAGACCGGAAAAATATTTGTAAATTACAAATGTGATGCTATTTTACTTTCTTACAAAAGTAGATGTCGCTTGATAAGATTGAACTCAAACCCTTGAAATGGTGACCGGGCGATAGCACATTAGACAATGTATTTACTCGTGGTGTGGTAAAAGTAAACATATTAATCAAACTGTTGTAGGCGTCGGCTTGATCATGGCACGTCCACCCTAAATGTACCTAATTCGGTTAAAAAATATGAGACTTATTACGCAAAGGATTGTTATCAGTGAAACCGATCGATGTAATACAAATGGGACAATTTAAAGTGATGTTTGTGTCCATTAAAAGCGCATTATGTGGCTACTAAAATAAATATTTGTGTCTAAATATTGATTATATTGCGTCCGTTGTGTTTCGTGTTTAATATTTTATCTCTTTAAAATAGACCCTAAATACATAGTTACAAAAGGTTTTGAATGTTTAGTTTTTTGAACTATATTTGCTTAGATAATGAAATTAATTAGCCTTATCAAAACTTGAGGGAAATACCTACGATAAGTACTGCGCTGCGTACCGTATCCTAGAGTACATAGTTTAGGTCATGTAAAATAGTCAAAACAATAAATTCAATACCACAAACCTATTAAAGTTTACTTCAACTCTTGCTCTAGACGATTTAATTATATTTAAATTGATGAAATAGACTATCACCCACTTTTAATAGTTCAAACATTTAACTAAAAATACTCTAAGTAAAATCAGGAGAAGATTTTCACTACGTTTTAGAAAAAAAATAAAAAAAATACTGACAGGTTTGGGGGTTATTTTTTAAATTTTGACATGAAAACTTGCACTTTGTAATCTATTGAAAAAGACTTATGGTTATGTAATAAATACTTTTTATTGGTACCAGTAGTTTAATCCGTAATCAATAAAAGAAGAGAATTGGTCTGCATTACTCTATATAACCATTAATTGATGTAACTAACGCGGTGTTGACAAATGCATCGAAAGTATCAATTTTAAAAAGTATACTTAAGTAAAATTAGCCTGATGAACGGTTAGACAGTAACGCAGTAGGTGCATAATTGGATTGATTACAATAGAAACGTAGTTGAAGTCAATGAATATCGATCGAAACGTTTCTATTTAGTGTTGTGGAGTACAGAACTTGAGAACTACTTATAGGTGTGTTTAGAGTGAGACATCATAATAAACAAAGAAAACAAGGCCGGCAATGTTAGTACAAGATAACATATTGAGAACATAGGTTATTCTTAACTCTTCGGTTTATCACGCGATACCAAAGAGAAAGAAAGGTAATACGTTAAATAAGTAAATCTTTAAATTCTTACCGAAACAATCCTCTTGCTTACTTCTATATTATCACTAAGTATTTATTTCCATTACTAATTATCACGAGACGTAAATGCAATATCAGTGCAATAGAATTATGTAAAAAATATTTAATTGTAGTCACTAATATTCTAATTACATATGATACATACTACTAAGTCATTACTTATTCACAACATTTTAGTTAAATTTACAATAATTTACAACATTACTACACTATTTTATTCACGCCGCATTTCCAATGATGTAGAAACCGTGCCTAGCGTACATTTTTCTAAAAGGCTTCGTCCGCGCATGCGTGTGGACTTAGAGGTTATCTACTTACCTATTTCATTTTCTTATTGAGGAAAAGAGATGGCTATACGCTGTAACAACATGCGCAGTGTTATTGATAAAATTTTTGGCGGGAAAACACGTTATCTGAGGTGATGTTTCAGAGCCATGTGATTGGCTAATCAAACAAAACGCACGGACTTGCACATGCGTGTAACCAAACTTTATTTACTGTTGAGAACTGTAAGCGTATTTTTAGATTACCGGGCCGATAGTGTATAATCTAAATATCTTAGTACACGTAGCAGACTATTTTCATATTTCGTGTCATATAGATTCAAGTTAAAGGCAACGGAATAATTAAATTACAGAAAACCACATCTTTATTGGTGCATAAGTTAAAAGTTAAACAATATGGCAAACTATATGATACATGTAGCGAAAAAAGTGTGGAGAGAAACAGAAGTCAGAGAAAAGAAGAATGAACTTAAATTTTGCAAAATAAAAACGAGAGTGAAACCAAGAATGAAAGTTAAGATCCTAGAAAAGAAAAACAAAAAGTAGGGAAGAATCAGCATACGATAACAAAATATTGATTTTATCATTGTTTAAATGTTCAATTTGTGTAATTAAGATAATCATATCAATACTTATATTTATTTTAAATTGTATCAAACGACAAGCTGGAAACATGTAATAGTTACGTTAATAAATGGTGGTCCACCACACTTACATACACTCGCGTCCGAGGACTAAATTCAAGTAAATTATACTCCTAAGTTCTATGACCTATTATGTTTTTGAAGAGAGTTACCCGTGTTACTTATAATACTAAGATAATTAATTTATAGAAAGGTAAATTTTACAAGGCGTTATTTAGACATAATACACACATACACACACACATGTTTCTATTCTGTTAAAGAATACATTGAGGAAAAAAACACTTAACAAACTACATTTCTTATTACACGGAAAACAGAAAGCATATACCTAAGTACAAATCATAAAAAGAAAAATCGGTCGTGATGCTCGGAAATGCTAGGGACAGTAGGAAAATGTGTATATGTATTAGTGATGTAGAATGTCAGGTGCCTTCGTATTTTTGCATGCTTTATTCGATTGTTATACTGTACTATTGAGTCACTTAATTTGTATTGTTCAAAAAATGCTTGTACTTGTGTAACAATTTATTCTTCTGCGTTCTCTCTCAAATTTTTGCAATGCCTGGAAAAGGCTTCTGAGTTGGGACTACTACATATAATATTATAAGATCATTGATGTACACTTGGTTGGCAAATAAAGATTTGATTTGATTTGATTTGACATATGTGTAATAGCAGGGAAGCCAAAAATTCCATAGATCGCCAATTCGAAATACGCGAGCGTGGTAGATTTTATACAGACAGTTCAGCTTTATGTTCCTGATATACTACCTAAAAATCTGACGATAATTTTGCTGGGTATTCCCCAGGTGTTCCCCAGGGAAGTATTCGTAGTCCTACGCTTTTCCTGGTATATATTAACGATCTATGTAATCTCACCTTAAGACATGGAAAGATACTATAATATGCTGACTTCACGGCTCTAATTTTTACCGCAAAAACTAGCAACGAATTATATGAGAGCACCTAGTTTGGCTTTATTATTGTGTATACTTGGTTAAAGAATAATCTTCTAACATTAAATACTGACAAGACTAAATATATTCATTTTTCTATGCGACAAGGTCGGGCAATCAACCGCCGTGGAGCCGACGACTGCCACGGTGCCGTCCCGGTCACCCACCAATTTGGACAGGGAGGAACATAATAGGGCTCCGCGGCTACGACAAAACCCAGACGAACGACCACTACGCCATGGTTTGCAGAAAGAGATTTTCAGGTTCGTCTGGACAAGGAGGTTGGAGACTTGGTCCATTACTAGACCGTTTGAACAACCTCCTCCATGGACGAAGACGTAGTCGCACAAATGACGTCGGAGGCGGCCTGGGTTGATTGGCTAGCCCCCCGATGTTTGCTGAGAATTGCGGTAAGGTTTGCAGCCTACCTGCAGAATATGGGGATTGGCGGGCTTATTACCCGTCGCACAGGCTGGGCAGTGAAGGGCGGTAGAGCATTCTTTCGCCTTAGCGTGGCCAGGCATTTGAAACACCTCATCGGTCTCACCGCCAGAACTGTAACTCTGGCATTCACGAAACCGATGAGGATCTTGCTGGGATCTACGGGACAACTGACCCACACTGCACCTGCACTGACATAATATTTTGCGGACCCCAAGTAACGTAAGATTCTATGTTACATTGATAAAAAAAAATACAAATCGAAATATACTACTATAATTAACAACCAAATAAGTTAATATTTAATAAGACATCTACAATATTTTGAGAAAGTTGTAGAATATTCTTAAAATTATGTGCATAGATGCCTATTCATTGCTATTTTAAGATAACTTATATACCTGAGTTACCTAGTGATAATTTTAGATCATCAAAAGGTATTTCATAGAGAAGTGGGGAAGGGGCTAGGCGGGTCATATATATCATTCGACTTTAATTTTTTAGGTTATGTTACATTAAGTATACTATCTATAGCGGAAAATATTTTTATTTTTATTTTAGAGTTGATTGATACAGATTTAAATCTAGTTAGTATTTACCTTGCTATGTAGATTCCAAAAGTGTGTTTTAAAGTAAATTTGTCCCAGTTTTCTTGAAGTAACTCAGTCTGCACGTGTATTTTTATGAACGATGTTGTTTACTGCTCTGTATCTCGAATACTGGCTAACGGTTTTTATAGTTGCTACGAAATAATAGGTAGAAAGACCTAGACCCACATAATTTAATGAATATTCTACAACCTTTTCAAAATATTGTAGAAATCGTATTAAATATTAACTTATTTGGTTGTTAATTATAGTAGTATATTTCGATTTGTATTTTTTTGTTTATCAATGTAACATAGAATCTTACGATTTCAAGTAATTGAAGTGTAAATTTTACTAAATAGCTCAAATTGTACATAGTGATTAAAAAAAATATTTCGGATTCGAGTTTTTTTTTCTTTTCTTTGCATATTCTGAGAACATTTACTATAGTAATGTATATTTTTTTTTGCATTATCAGAAAGAAGAGATTTCAATAAACAAAAAACTCTCCGACTTTTTTTAAAAAGCTGATATTTTGACGCGAGAATTTTCGATTGAAAATTATGGTGTTTTTTCGATATTAAGTCAAAATAAGGTGAAAAAATAAATATTTCAAATCAAAAAAATTAAATTTAATTAAAATTAATTAAATTAGTGTCTTTAGGACATAAAAAGGTAAGCTTTCACCAAATTTCGTGAAAAAAAAATTGTTTTTGCAAAAGATAAAAATAAAAAACCAAAAACTTGATTATTTGAACTTTTCACATAAATTTTGAGGTTATGTGAAAAAAGTCTAATTACAAAAGTTGTAGGTCTTTTTATTACCTACAACTTTGTCATTTATGTTTTTCCATAGGACTTGTAGTTTGGCCGGAAATCGAGATACACCGTTTTTTACCCTTAAACCCTTCCTCTTCCCGACCTCAGATCGCCCGTAAATTATTTTTCCTTACATTTTTGTTATATTCTCGTCCTTTTTTAACGGGTCTTTTCTCTTCATCATTCTTGGTTATAAGCTTATATAACACTAGCTTTTACCCGCAGCTCCGCCCGCGTATTTGTCGGTTATCGCTTTAAAAAGTATGTAGTATGTACCTATGATACTTGCTGAATGTAGTATTCTATTGGTCAAACAATTTTTAAAATCGGTTCAGTGGTTTAGGCGTAACAAAAGTGTACAAACAAACAAACTCACTTTCACATTTATAATAAAAGGATGGTTTACTTTAATTTTAGAGTTGTTACTCTGAAATTAAAGTGATATTTTAGAACTTTTAATTTAATTTTACAAGTAATTAAATTTTCGTCAAAGAGTTTTAACAGCTGTAGTTGTAGCATCGTGTCTCTCTAGTAAAAAAGATCTTGTTAGATCCAAAAGAATAACATATTATTATAACACACTATTTCTAAACTTAAAAAGCTATTATGTAAAATAT